ACCTATCAGGTAGATTGGTGTCTTTTAAGATACTTCATTATGTTAAATATAGAATTGTTTAGACCTAATGTTATTGTTCACTATAGTAAATACAAGCTAAATTTCTTCTAGGTCCAACAGGATGTCTGGACTGGCCCTACATCTGTGTATACTTGTAGCAATGTATGCAATATATTAAGAACACAATAAAACTGCCAATTTTTCCTATTCAAAGCCATCCACACAGAGCTTAGATGATGAGCTAACAAAATGAGATGTCGTTAATTACATTCCTAGGTAATTTTGATCCAAAAGAGATCATTTTGCTTTTTCCAACTGAAATCAAATCATTTATTATGGAGGAAGGAGTATAATTTTGGAGCTGGGCGAACTATTAGGTAGCAATACTGAATGGAAGCTATTATGCATATGTTCTGGTCCACAGTTGCTGAGACATTTGCTGGTGAAAATATGCCTGTTTGGTCCAAGGAGGACCTCATTTCTCAATGAGGAAAAACATGATGGTTTTTTTTTAAATTATTTAGCTCAGATTTTATACAGTAAACTAGATTTCCTCTTGGCTTCAATAAAATAATTCTAATCATTATTGTTGCTCCACAAACGAAAGAGCTGCCTAGTAGGTAGTGAGCTCCCCGTCTTGAAGTTATGTAAGCAGACCCAGGATCAGCACTGGAAATGTTGTAGGGGAAATTCATCTCAGTCTATTAGACAAGGATTTGACTAGGAATATTTCAAAGGGAATTTATTTATTGCCTGGGCCAGGCACTATGGCATGAAACTTTGGGTAGGCCACAGCTCTTGTCTTCAAGCAAAATACTTTCTAGTAGTTCCTTTTAACTTTGAGATTCTGTAACTTTATCTTAACAAAATTTACATCAGATCTCTCCTTTTCACCTTTTAAATATTTGAGGGTAGGCTCAATTTTTTAATTACATTTATATATCAGTGTTTTTTAAAAAATATAGAGAGAAATACAGGGAGATATCATCTCACCTTTCTTTCCGGTATCAGTTAGCTATTGCTGCATAATGACACAGTGGCTCTGAACAGTTGTTATTTATTGTTGCCGTTCACGTGTCCGTGGGCCAGCTGAAGGCTGGGTGATCCGAGCTGGCCTGAGCCAGGCGGTTCTGCTCATCTGGGCTAGACTCATGCATATGCGGGTTGGCTGTGGGTTTTGCTCTGGGCTGGGCACGGCTGGGGCAGCTCCAGCCAGTGTGTAGACAAGGACTGGGTGGGGCGATTGAAAAACTGCCACAGTTTTCTCCACTTTGGACCATGAGGAAATGTGGGACCAGCATAGAGAGCCTTATTGCATAGATATGAAAGGGAAGGTCTCGCTCTTGCAGGTTAAGTTCACTGGATCCCACCCCCCGCCTCCCAGCATCCACACCCCTCACAGAGAGAGTAGGACTTAGCCAATAAAGGGATGGCATGTTTCCCTGGCCCCAAGACCTGTAGAGGCGCTGACAGGGTGTGGGGTAAGGCTCCTCTGTGTCTGGAACTGAGAGACCAAGGCAAGGCCTGTCGTCATCTGATGGCCTGCCTCACTACACCATCAACCCACATGGGGCGCCCCCACCCCTGCCTCGGAAAGGTCTGTAGCTACTCACCTCCAGTCCCAAAGCAGACAGAGAAAAATGACAAGAAACCCGAAAGGCCAAAGAATCTAAGAGAGCCAAGGACCATGAGGAAGAAGAAATATTAATAACATAATCAGAACAGACCTCCACTGACATGGAACTGTTGGAAGAGACAGACAACGACTTCAATAAAAACAGAAGGAAGATGGCTTAGATTCACATGTAATGGGCACCTGTGCACACCTTCCTCCCAACACACACACACACACACCTTTCTGGAACTAAAAATATGATATTAAAACTTAAAGCATCAGGAGATAAGCTGAAACTGAAGGCGGTCACTGGTGAGACTTGAATTAGTGACCCAGAAGATGAAGTGAGAGAAATCTCTGGAATAGCACAGCACAATTTGTTGGGTTGGAAACCATGAGAGAAAAGAGGAGAGAGATTTAGCTGTTAAATCTGGACATCTAAGAATCAGCTTCAAAACGAGAAAGAGACAAATGGAAGAACAACAGTAATTATAAAAAAAAAAAATCAAAGAATATCCCGAGCAGTAGACAGACCTAAACCTAGATTTGAAAGAACTTCAAATCTCTAATAAAATTTCCAAACTCTAGGAATAAGGTATTAAAAAAGAAAAGCATGTCCTAAATTGTCACCACCAAAATATTCCTACTTTCTTTATTAAAAAGTGAAAATAATATGCGTACAAGGGTAGAAAATTCAATGGTACAGGAAACTGTGAAAGGAAAAGTAAAAATCTCCCTTTATCCTCTGTATTTTCCTTCCCTAGACTTTCCCAAGAAAGTGATCACTATAAACAGTCCTGAATTTCTTGCAACCTTGTAAAGTTTATGCACGTACATACCAACATATATATCTACATAAATGTTTATTTTTACTTATTTATATTAATAACTGTAGTTTATTAAATTTATCATTTAATATATTATTTACATTAATAACTAGTATATTAACTTTATCATTTAATATATCTTTCATAGCAATACATGCCTAATTATTTTCAATAGCCACATTGTACATTTCATAATATGAACATGATGTGATTTTTCAGCTAATTTCTGATTAACGGACACCCTGATTTTATTCAAGTTGTTTTTCTCTTACAAACAATGCCACCATGAGCAACCCCCTAACTGAATCTTGTAGATCTTTTGTAAGCATATCAACAAAGAAATTCCAAGCAGTGAAATTGCTAAGTCAAAGACATTTGCATTTTTGGCGATTAAAAGCCTTGAGAAATTCCTCACACCTAATAGGCACCCAATAAATATTTGATAAGCCACTAAAATGGTTACATTGTCACCAGGAAGATTTATCACAAATATTCAAGTCTTTTCAAACCACTGTTGTAGGTTGAATGGTGACCCCCAGAAAGATATGGCCTTTGTCATAATCTCCAGGACCTCTGAGCATGAGCTTTTTTTTGGAAAAGGGGTCTTTGCGGCTATGATTCAGTTATGGGTCTTGAGATGAGGGGATCACCCCGGTTCGCCACGCGGGCCCTAAATCCAAAGGCAAGTGTTCTTCTGAGAGCAAGGCAGAGGGAAACCGGACACACACAGGAAGCAGAGAGCGTGCGAAGGTGGAGACCGAGAACTGAGGGATGCAGCCACAGCCCAGGTAGCCAGCAGAAGCTAGAGGAGGCAAGGAACGGATAGATCCTTCCCCTAGAGCCCTCAGAGCGAGCGTGGCCCGCCAACACCTTGATTCCGGACTTCTAACTTCCAGACCTGCGAGCGAATACGTTTCCGTTGTTTTAAGACGCCAAGATTGCACTCATTCGTTATGGCAACCTCAGGAAACCAACACAGTCGCTATTATTTAAATTGGATCTTGTCCGTACAGTAGCAAACAATAAAGTTTGGAGGAAAAATGGCGATGACACAGAAGAGGAACTGAATCGCAGAGCCCTGCTCCTGAGAGCAGCCCTCTTTAGCCCCTTCCCCAGTTCCTCCCTTATCGTGGTCTCCAGTTCACACACCCTCTCCTGGCTGTGTCTGAAACTGAGACCCAAAACAGCTGGGAAAACAAAACAAAACAAGGCAAGGCAAACACCAACTTATCCATTTTTCTCGGTTTGGGCTCGGGCAGATCGAGTACAAGTCGATCCAATCCGACTTTGAAAAGAAAGTTTATAAATGCCTTTTTATTTTTATTTTTCCTTAAAAGCCCAGGTGGTGGCAGATGGAACCTCACACCTCTAAATCCATCAAGTCGTAATTGATCCAGAGAGAGCCTTGCTGGAGCAAGGGGAGCATTTTCCCAGGCAATCTCTGGTCTCTGCCCTGGTGGAGAATTATCGTGCCATCTGGAAAAGGCAGCATAGTCCTGTGATAGACGCTGTGCAGCTAATTGCCAGCCAGTTCCAACTCAGATTGGCCTAGAACCATGGAGCGACCCCCTCTGTGTTCCCCGTGTCCCAAGCCTCCGCTCTCTCAGCAACCAACTTTGGCTTCATGAAACGAATCCTACTTTATGCTTAAAATCGTGCTTACAGCTTAAAAAGCACTGCCAAGGACAGAATCTCAACGGTTTTCTGTCGTTTCTCACAATAAAACAATGAGATGGGAACGGGGCAGGCATTATTGCATACCTTTTTCTAGAAGAAGAACAACCCCAACTTTAGAGAAACTGCATGATTCATCCAAGCTCTCAGGACTTCAAACCCACTGATGCCCCCCACACCATAATGCCCCCTGGGAATCGACCCATTTGGGGTAGACATAAATAAAAAATGAGCCTGTTTATTTTCAGACGCGCTCTCTCTCTTGTTGGGAGACTAGGTGTCCCTGAGCTGAAAAGGAATTGTCTCTCTGGACACGTGCAAAAGGGGGATGGCTAGCAAGGCATTTTTGAGTATTCAAGCCCCTAATAGCCTCTGATTCAAATGTTAGTTTGTTGCACATCGTGTATTTTACTTTCGATAAGATTAATTTTAAAAAATCATCTCAAACTGAACTTCATCTTGGACCAAATGTGGATTTAGCCTCTAACATCAACAGCACTTCTGCTCCTCTGCTAAAAATGTATCTTTTGATAACCAAGGCGAGAGATAATCAGAGAGTTCGCATGTATTTTAAAACTTATTTGTCTAAGCACATAGCTCCCATAAGACTTGAGTTTGACATTTCCTTGGTAAGCCATTAATAAGTAAAGTTTTCAGGTGGTCATTCTCCGTAGGGCTATAAAAAGAAAATTAAAAGCAAGATCAATTGTGCTTTTGAAAAATGCTGAAAAATCCTGCATTTTTTATGACTACCAGAAACCAAAAAAGGTTCTTTTCTAAAGATAATTCCTATTTCTGTTCCACGGGTCATAGGGGAATGAGGAATATAAATTAAAGGCAAGATATCTGAATTCATATATTCAAATTAATTTATTCACCAAATACCTACAGAGCCCCCACCCTGTGCAAATCATGTGTTGGCACCACAGCAGGGAGCTAAACAAACTCTCTGATCTTAAGAAGCATACATTCTACTGGGCAAAGTAGGACAAAGAACACGCACCAATTTAGTCTCCAGTTTTCAGAAAAACATAATCAGAGACTCAAAGCTGACCACTCCTGCTGCCCTCACCAGCCCCTCTGAACTGGAAGATGACACAAAGCTATAAAAACAGAGCAGCTGGCCTAGCATGTATAATTTAATTTTAGATAGCCCAGAAAAACTGCCTGTGACAGTCACATACGCAAAAAAGCAATCCTTCAGAGACGCTGGAAAATGCTACCCTTGCAAAGGAATGTTTAAGGATGTAGATTCCTCAGAAGAGACTGGTTCTGGGAGGGAGTATATGTTTGCCAAGGACTCCTCCTGGTGCCTGGGGGACTTTTTCCACTTTCTTGCACCTGTTCTGCTGTTATATTCATAAACGTTCCCGGAGACTGTGGGAAGGCAAACACAAAACACAGAGAAACTGAGTTACAACGGACTTGCAAAGCATTTATTTATCCCATAAAGTGTTTATTGAGCATTTATATAGCTGGCAGAGTGACAAGTCCTTCTTCTCAAGTCTTGCTCTCTTAACAAAGGAAAAAGAGGTTTAGCTAGAAGCAAAACCTGAAGCATCGTGTGGTTTCACATGCATTAAAAATTGCCCCTTTAGCGTGAGGGAGTTCTTTTGTGGTTTAAGAATAGTTCTGCATCTTGACTGTGGTAGTCGTTATACAAATCTATAAAGGTGAGCAAACGTTATACATATAGAACATAGGGAAAAAAGTGCATGCAATAACTGGGGAAATCTGAGTAAAGTCTGTGGTCTAGATAATTATATTGCACCAATGTTGATTTCCTGATTTGGGCAACGTACTATAGTTATGAAAGATGTTGCTTTTGGGGGAAGCTAGGTGATGGGTATACAATACTTCTCTACTATGTTTTGCAATTTCTTGTGAGTCTGTAATTATTTTAAAAGCAAAAGTTAAAAAAAAGAACATGTCAAATTGTGTTTATTTTATTTTCAAAATTGTTCCCAAATTGATCTGCCATGTACAGTATCTGAAGTTTAATCAGGCAACCCTTCAGAAAAATACTAATGCAGTATTATACAAAAGAAAAGAAACAAAGTCAATAGGGCCTAATATAATAGGAAGTCAACCAACTGTTTCTTAGGTGACTAAGATGTAATTCATAAATAAAAACAATAATAAGAACAACAGCTGCTCCAACAGTATTTACACTATGTTACGCTCTGTTTTCATATATTAATTTTTCGATCCACTCAACATCTTTGTGAATAAGTAAACATTATTGGCCACATTTTAGAAACCAGGAAACCGGAGCACAGAGATGCTAAGTGACTTGCCAATGCCATGCCATCTGTTAAGTGGCAGACCTAGATTTGAACCCACGCAGTCCGGCTACAGAGCTCTAAACACTAACAGCCCAGGGTTAGAGGCCATGTCCTAATTAACTTTAGGTTGGGCTCCGTGAACCACGCAGTGCCTTCTGCATCCCATTCTGGTTTCCACAGAACATCTGATAGTTGATAGTGTGTCCCAACACAGATAGCCAAACCTATTTTTATTTTAAAATATTTCTCGTCTTTATCATGTGAAACTTTACTGTGCTGAGTCAACTCTCAAAAATCCATTAACTGAAAGGTGATTCTTCTGCCAGGACCACTGAGCTGGGTTGGACAAGGCACTTCCCTGAAAACCCCCTTTCTCCACCAAAAAAATTTCTACCACACAAACACACACACACACACACACATCTATGCCATCATTTAATAGTTTATGCTGTAACTTGAAAACTAATTGCTGAATCATACATCAAACATCCACGTTCAAAATAAGACAAAGGGGTCCGTCCAAACACATAGTAACTTTGCCCTCTGTATTGAGTAAAGCAAAGGTGATGTGTTATCAGTCAAATGCTGACTCCGAGAAAAGTGATTGTAATAGCTTGTTGTCTTCATTAGATCATGTTCACTTTTTTTGGTTTGTTTTGTTTTCTTAAGAGTGGAAGGACCTAGAGCCCTGTCTTTGTTGACACACTGGTTTTCACCATGCCCTTCACTGGCAGAAGGGGTCATGAACAGTATTAGAGACAAGGGTTCCTGTGTCAGACTGCCTGGCTTCTAATCCTGACTCTTTCCTCTCCCTAAACTATGACTCTGGAGAAGTTACCTGCTCCCTCTGTGTCTCAGTTTTCTCATTTATAAAAAGAGGGTAATGTTAATAGTCACTACCTCATAAACAGAAGTGAGAATCAACAATTTATGTAAAAGCATTTTGGCCATACTAAGAATTCAATAAATGTTTGCCATGGTTTGATATTAGAAGCGCTCTAAAAACATCTTGCAATAAGTCTGCAACTGCATAGTTATATGTGAACTTTTTCAGTGTGCAAAGAACAATAATGTTAAAATTAAATAGGTTACATAACGGCATTCTTCACAGTAGTCAAGAGGTGGGAGCAATGAAGTATCCATTGATGGATGAATGGATAAACAAAACGCGTTATACACATACAAAGGAAGGTTATTTAACCTTAAAAAGGAAGGAAATTCGGGCTGGGCGCGGTGGCTCACACCTGTCATCCTAGCACTCTGGGAGGCCGAGGCGGGAGGATCACTCAAGGTCAGGAGTTCGAAAGCAGCCTGAGCAAGAGCGAGACCCTGTCTCTACTATAAATAGAAAGAAATTAATTGGCCAACTAAAAATATATAGAAAAAAATTAGCCGGGCATGGTGGCGCATGCCTGTAGTCCCAGCTACTCGGGAGGCTGAGGCAGGGGGATCGCTTGAGCCCAGGAGTTGGAGGTTGCTGTGAGCTAGGCTGATGCCACGGCACTCACTCTAGCCTGGGCAACAGACTGAGACTCTGTCTTATAAAAAAAAAAAAAGGAAGGAAATTCTGACACATGCTGTCACATGGACGAACCTCGAAGACATTGTGCTAAATAAAACAAGTCAGTCACAAAAGGGCAAATGATCGTATGATTCTATGATACATACGGGAAGTACCTAGGGTAGTCAAATTCACAGAGAGAGAAAGTAGAATGTTGGTTGCCAGAGGCTGGGAGGAGGGGAAATAGGGAGCTATTGTTTAATGGGTATAGGACTTCAGCTGGGGAAGATGAAAATGTTCTGGAGATGGATGGTGGTGATAATTGCACAACAATGTGAACGTACTTAGTGCTGCAGAACTGTACATTTAAAATGATTAAAATGGTAAATTTTATGTTATGCATATTTAATGCAATAAAAATTAAATAAGTTAATAATTATAAAGTACTTAGAACAAGCTTGATACATTGTAAGTACTAAATAAGTGTTTATTAAATACACATTTTTAAAAATTTTAGAGGGATATGGGAAATGACATACAGTACATTTTTTTTTATTTCTAATAATAATAGTAAAGTAGAAAAAGAACCAGGGGAAGGGCCCAGAGGTCTGTTGCAAGCTACTCTGCCATTCTTCCACCACGAAGTCTGGTACAAGATCTGGGTTGACCCCAATAGTCATCTTGCTGCTCTTCTACCTAAGGACCTACCTACCTCCTCCTCTTTGCCTGCCTGTGTTCTACCACTACTAAGATTCAGTCTCTGTTTCAAAGACAGCCACTAACTCTTTTCCTTCCTTTCTTTGAAAGGAAAGAAAGCCATGTGACCCTAGACATATTCCATACCTTCTCTGAGCCTCTGTTTCCATATCCATAAAATGGGAACAACAGTGGTACTTCTATCACAGGAACATGGAAATAGAATTTAAAATAGGATGCAATCCTCATTGTTGTGGGGGTTAAATGAGACAAGGCATAGTAGGCATAGATAAGCATTCAGTAAATGTTCATGTATGATTTCAGTGAGTTCCTGGAAATCAGAACTCATTGGAGCCCAGTTATTGAATATAGACCACATTAGGATATACGTAGTATGTTATTAACTTAATAAAATATTTGTTAAAGGAGTGACTTTCTTTAGGGAGAACTTCACAGTCAGTAATAAAGCACTGATAATTCCATGCCAACATATCCACAGCTGTCAGGATTTAACTCGCAGTAAAGTGTCTCGAGCTATTATAGTGCCAACAATTCTTTCGTGGCTAATACCCCATGTTGAGAGACGCTTTACAAAATGATTTTTACATGCATTGCATGCATGTTTAAACTTCACAGTCACCCCCATGAAAGAGACAAAGCCCGCAGTATCACAGCTGGGAAAAGGGAGCCTCAGGGAAGTTAAGTGCTTTGTCCAGGTTCACGTGGAGAGTTAGTGGTTGTGTCAACACTCAAACCCTAGTCTTCTAACTCCACACCCACAGCTTTTCCAATACCTATTCCTGCTTCTTCCTTCAGGGAAGGAATGCATGAAAAAAAAGATAAGCTTCAAAATTGTTTATAAAATGGAGGTTTGACATGCTCTGTAGTTTTAGTGTTCACTACACATAAATATTTAGACCAAGAATTGCAAATCCATAGCTCATCTGGTCTATAGATGTGGCAGATGAAAGATGGCCACAAATTCTTTGACCTTCATCCCCTGAGAGGTGGAGTGTGTGCTTCTCTCTTTGAATCCGGGTAGACTCTGATTGCCTTACCAACAGAATGTGGCAGAAGTAATGTGTCAGTTTCCCTGCCTGGGCCTCAAGAAACTGCAAATTCCTCTTTCTATCTCTTGGCTCTCTGTCCAGGAAGTCTAAATTGCCATGTAGGATGCCTGACTGTCCCCACTGGAGAGACTACATGAAGAGGCCCTGAGAGACTTGTAGAGGATTGGGACCCAGCTGAGCCCAAACTGTGACTGTCCCCACCAAAGTGTCAGGCTTATAAGTGGTGCCACTTTGGGCACCCAAGACTAGACCAGCTGCCAACTGAATACCACTGAAGTGACCCTTTAAAGCAAAAGTGGGCTGGGCGTGGTGGCTCACGCCTGTCATCCTAGCACTCTGGGAGGCCGAGGAGGGAGGATTGCTCGAGGTCAGGAGTTCGAAACCAGCCTGAGCAAGAGTGAGAGCCTGTCTCTGCTAAAAATAGAAAGAAATTAATTGGCCAACTAAAAATATATAGAAAAAATGAGCCAGGCATGGTGGCACATGCCTGTAGTCCCAGCTACTTGGGAGGCTGAGGCAGAAGGATTGTTTGAGCCCAGGAGTTGGAGGTTGCTGGGAGCGAGGCTGACGTCATGGCACTCTAGCCCGGGCAACAGAGTGAGACTCTGTCTCATAAAAAAAAAAGAAAAAGCAAAAGTGACCCACACAAAGCAAAAGAATTACTCAGGTGACACCTGCTCAAATTCCTGACACATGAAAGTGTGAGCTATAATAAAATGGTGGTTGTTCCAAGCTCGTGAGTCTTGGGGTGGTTTGTTACACAATATATAACCAGGGAGAAATGTGTGTTGTTTGGCATGTACAATGTAGTTTAATTGAATTAGTTACCTACATTTACAAATGGGCAGATGTCATGTAACAACTGGATTTCTGGCTCCTTTGGAAGCATCAGGATCATGGCAGCACCAGGCTTATTCGCAAGGGGTAGTAATTTGATGGAGCTGGCCATGGCCATGTCTCCCAAGAATGAACTGTCGATGATGACTGAGTTTTTACTGTCTTATCTGCTCCCTTCCTGGCCCTAACATGGTTTGCTCTAGGGCAGTCTCACTTTGCAAATGCGTAAGTAATTCGCTGACACAGTTTAGTACTTAACTAGGCAAAAGAGGCACCATACCTGGATCAATGGCTTCTCCATCAAACACAGTCTCACACACAATGGTTTCCTTTTAAAAAGCACAAAACGTAAGCCATATAGTCAGCATGGTAAAAATCAGTTTTCACAAGTGCCAAATAATTTGTGCAGATGACTTCTTATGTTTCTTCGTCTTTCTAATCTACAGAGCACTAGCAGCTTAGGGACCAACATCTTCCTGATAATCTTGTCTCCTCCCAATCCCATCCCCTGCTTAGTCTGTCTGCCATGCCCTCGGTTAACTCAGATCTTTTTACCGACATGAAGTCTCTTATTTTGTATAGGAGGTTATGGGCTGGATTGTGTACCTCCTTGCCAATTCATATGTTGAAATCCTAACCCTAACTTCAGAATGCAACTATACTTGGAGACAGGGCTTTTAAAGAGGTGATTAAGGTAAAACAAGGTCATGTGGGTGGGCCTTAATCCAACAGGACAGGTGTCCTCATAAGAGGAGATTAGGGCAAAGATAGCATAGACCAAGGGATGACCATATGAGGATATAGTGAGAGAGTAGTCTCCTGAGGTCTAAGGAGAGAGGCCTCAGAAGAAAGTCAACCTGCTGACACCTTGACCTTGGACTTCCAGCCTCCAGGACTATGAGAAATACATTTCCATTGTTTGAGTCACTCAGTCTGTGGTATTCCGTTATGGCAACCCTAGCAGACTAATAGAGCAGGTGCATTGTATCAGTTTCCTAAAAGAAGAGGCAGAGGAAGGAAGCACTGACAGAGAACAAGCTCATGAAACAATATGGTCAGTTAGGACTCAGGTAGGAATGTTCTTGGTATAGGGAGAGACAGGTAGAGAGAAAAGGATGGGTGAAGACTAAAAATGCCCTTTCCTGTTCCACTCTACATTTATTTTTTTCTGGAACCAGCCTTACCCTGGTACAGTTGTTTATGTGAATTATTTAATGAATGAGCCTCAGCCAATTTCAAGATGGTTTACATACTCTAGGGTGCAGATTTTAACATCTGCTAAGAAACGCCATGGTTGAAGAACTTACTTAACCATTTGTATAATCTATTTCCAAATATAGTTATTTCTAATTAATGGTGAACAATGCTAACTTTCCCATTTGTCTAGGGTTGTTTCTGCTGAATGCATGTATAATATCTCAGACAAGTTTTGGCCTAAGCCAAATTCTAAAACTAGATCAGAAATTCCAGTTTTGTAATGCATACAAATTCAGCAGAAGAAAGTAAATTGAAATTATTTTATTTCCCTTTTATGATGCTTGAGTAGATTTACTATATGTTTATATGGGAGAACTTTTCATTGAGCAACAATTATAGGGAAATGTCTTCTTTCTTTTACTGTAGAGGGATCGCAGAAATGTACTTACTGTTAACAATTCTAAGTTTTTATTTCTGTTTCCTATGACGGTCTTTCCCTTTGGATTTCTATCTCCTGTTCAAAAATAAATAAATAACAGGCAGGTATCTGATGAGTGGCATTTTAAAAATCACACAATTCAAGCACAATCATGTGACATCAGCAATCTGTATCTTACCTGTAATGTACTTCATTCCTCTGTATGAAAAGAAAATTTGACAAAATATCAGTTATATTATGCTAACACGGGGCAAAAAAATAATTTCATCCAACAGTCAGCACGTGACTATTGTCACATTTTCCCTACCGTAGGAAAAAAGAAATGCTGTATGAGGAATAATAAAATGATCTTCATTAACTATCACCACCCCCTTCACTGCACCATAAATAAACTTTTAGTTAATAAAAATTCATGCCCTACTCTATTTTTGAAGTCATGATATTCTAAAGAACTATTTTTGGATAATGATGAAAGCACCTACATTATCTACCCATTCTTTGGCCTCTCTGCCCAGCTCCAAATAGACTCAAAATCAGTAAGATGTGTGAAAAGGATAACTACATTTATTACCAATTCCTAGGCTAGTTCCTGGTAGTTATCAAACACCTGTAAATAAAACTGCTTGCGTTAGAATAATATGGGGAGTTGCTTTCTTGTTGGCTCACAAGTTCATTTGTTTAAAACATATTCTCACAGAAAATCTATTCCAGGTGTTCTAAGGTAAAACTCAATAATATGTTGTTGCTGTTTTTTAAAGAAAGCTCCCAACTATTTCTGAGCTAGAGTACATTTGGTATCACTGGTGAAAGGGAACATCGAGTTTTGTATCTCAAGTATTTTTCTCTGTGCCCCTCAAAAGCAAACAGGCAGAAGCCATCAGGGTAAGATCAGCAAATCCCAGTTGATTTTAACTCTTTATATCAGAAACTCAGAAAAAAAAAATTACATACTTAGGTATGGGCTTGGAGACTTCTTTAGCCATTTTCTGACAGCATCCCATAATGTTTCCGTATTTCCAAAGCAGGAAACATACCCAGGAGACGAACCCAACAAAGAAAACAGCCATCAGAGTGAAGATGAAAGGAATGTACCAGTCACTGGATTTGAACGTGTTGATAGCTGTGTACACAACGGTCAGACCTTTTCTTTGCTGGGAAACATTATTTTAAGTGCATAGAGCATTAGTTGATGTTTTCAGAAAGCATCTGTTTATATACAATAGCATCAGTGCAGAGCTGTGTTCCTTTACAGACAGTAAGATATCAACTCAGACATATGTGTTTTTTTTTTTTTTAACACCACAGTTGATACTAAGGACCAGCCTAGTACAGAGAAGGCACCAAATTAAGAATGGGAAGACTTGATTTGTATGTAATGACTGCTCTGTGATCTTAAGCAAACCATTTCTCCTCTTTACCCTCAGTTTTCTCATCTGCAAAATCAAGGGTTTTCACTAGATGCTATCTGAGGTCCTTTTAGTCTTGTATGCCCCATTTGTCCAATCTACACACAATTAAACCTTTTGTATAAGCTTAAGAGAACAGATTTCTTGAAAACCAAATATTCTGGTGGGTATATTTACCATCCATTTTTTAATGCTTCTATTTCAAAGGATAGAAGACAACAAAACACACTAACCATAAAGTCAACTGAACAGATTTTATCCATGGGTGATTCAAAAGCCATTCTAGAATTCTGCGGGGGATTTGCATATCTATTTTTTAAATAACAAAATACTAGAGAGTCTGCTAAACTTCATAAACTTCATGGATGGAAGATGGGATGAATCGATGGATACAAGCTATGCGGTATAGTGCCTTTGCACACAGTAGGCATCCATCCCTATGAATAGCACAGCTGCTAAGAAAAATCTTTAAAAATGCCCATTTGTAGAGATTTTTAACTGATAGAATTCATTGAATGTGGTGGGCAGGACTTTCAGATGATTCAGTAGTGGCTTAGCGGTTCTCTATGCTCCACCTGCGATTATCATGACCTTTCTCACACCCACCCGGTTTATACTCAGAGACGCACACTCTAAAATGTGGCCCAGTGGCTGGTTGGGGCAGTACCCAGTTGGAAAGGCATATGGGTGAACGTGCTGCCTGGGTAGCCTTCTAGCCTTTCTAGATGAAATTCGAATTTACAGTGGAATATTTCCCACACAGAGACCCAAATTAAATCCTATAACTCTTTACTTCAGAGCTGGTGGTTGGAGGAGGTGGCATATTGGCTCTTGTCACATAAATATCTATAATAGCAGTGCCTGTCCTAGGCTTGGTGGATCTGCCATATTTCAGGTTGTCATCAATTACATGCACCACGAGGTGGTACTGTCGCTGCAGTTCAGCTCTAGATTCAAAGTTGAAAGGATTCTTCACAATTAATTTTGGAGTGTTTGAGCCTCGAGTCGGGTCAAATCCAAAATGATGGTTCTCATTTCCTTTAAGAGAGATAATTTAAAAATTATAATTATTTTGAGATATAGGGAAAGGTTTTCTCAAGTTACCTTAAATTGCTATTAAAACACAGTAGGCATAAACAAATAAAGTTTTCATGGTACTCTAAATTCCAATATCTATACATGGCTTGTAAGAAAATTAAGATTAAATGGGTAAGAAATTCAGTTGGTTAGGAAGGAAGGTTTTAAAGGTTAAGATCCTGAGTCTGATTCCCACATGTGGCTAGCAAGCCTCACACTGTTATCCAATTGTTCTAATTACTTCTTCTCCCTTTGTCTTCCACTCAGAGCAATTTGATTCCCACCTTCAACTTAGTCTAGATTAATGTTAAATAAGCCAGTCTTCTTCAAGGCCCTGGAGACTCTATTGTAAACAAGATGCACACATGGTCTCTGCCGTCATGGGGCTTATCATTTATCAAGGGCAGAGGACATCAAGCTAATCTTTATAATTAATTGACAATGTTTTTACTGATTTCTATGCTTCTGTTCTTTCAGGTACATGACAGCAGGTCTGACCTCCCTACTTTAAATAGATCTCTTTGTTGTGCTGTCTCACGATACCCAGTCATTTTCCTTTATAGAAATTTTCACAGTTTTTACTTTTATAATTGTTGGTGTGTACTGCTAGCTTAGTAAACAATGAGTACCATGAATATAAGATCCCTGTCTTATATACTTATGTGTACCCATTTGCTAGGGCAGCGCCTGACACATAGGTGGTCTCCAATACGTGCCTTCCATAGAGGACAAGATGATGACTAACGTTGCTATGGATCTGTGTAAATCCAACAACACAGGTGAAAATATGTGTCCTAGTGAATCTGTATTAATAGCACTGGACGGGGAGGTGGCTGCCGCTGTCCAGCACCATGGACAGCAGACTTGGTTCCATTTTTACTTAAGCTTTAACATTTCCCACCTACGTCCAAAGTCTCTTTTTTTGTCAAAGCACCTAAGAAATCACTGGTATTTCCACTACAGGAGGAATTAAATCGGATATGTGGAGGTAAAAATGATGCCTCGAGGAAACAATGCTATAGACATTAACTAGTTTACCCTTTATAAACACAGTCATATCTAAGGTTATATATTTTGTCTAACAGGGTATAACTAATGTCAATTTGACGCATGCTCATGATTAAAAGAAATAATGAAATCATCCACCAGAAACCATCTCGAAGCGCATCTCAAAATCCTGTGAGTCTCTGTCGTGGCAGTTTAGTTTGAAGCCATTGACGTTAGTCCCAGCGACAGCATTGTCAAAAATGACGGCCTTATACAGAGAGGGTGTGCAGACAGGTGCTTCATCATTCTCATCTTCGATGTCAACAGTGACCTGTCAGCCATGGGGGAAGAAGAAACATCACATCCACGTCATAGGATTATTTATACACAAACTCACAACAAGTAAGCATCTGGGTAGAGGCGGATCATTTGGAATTATTAAATAAAAAGCCTAGAATTTTGAGTTTGAAGACATGTTCTTGCAGATTTGGATTCTGGCTGTCAGTCAACTAGTCAGTGGCTAATTATTCCTGGGTCAGCTGTGACATTCAGTGTGGCCATTAGGGAGAGCTTTGGGCCCATTAGAAGAGCTGTGGAAAGCTCACAAATTATATAAATGGTAAGAAAAGGAAAAGCTGGAGAATGAAGCCACTAAAAATTGTAATCCCTTGAACCTTTTAAACATCCATGCTTTATGGCAAACATATCAGTTTGCTTTCTCTTTCTCAACCGAATGGCCTCCTCTGCGCTGTTCTCTCAAGCACGATATATATTTTGGTAAGAATATGATTACTTCAAAGTATGCTCTGACCTTAATTAGTGGATGTTATCAACCTTTTCTTAATTAAAATACCATAAGCCAAGAAACTATGATTTACATGGAAAAAGATCAAAATATCAAGAATTTTTAAATGTCAGTGATTGAATGCCAGTCAGTCTAAAAAGGTTATCTGCCTCCTTCTTAGATGACTAATAACTTTCTCAACAGCACTTGCAGAAAAAACCCTGGTGTGTCCATATTTGCACATATTGTCTTTTTTAAATGTTTTCCGGAATGTTTTAACAACACAGCTAATTTCTTGGGGAACAGTTTATTCTTTAATGCTACTTCTGTAGATTCAATATAGCTATGAGTCCTATTTAATATGGGAGATATTTTTATATATTAAGTCAATAAATATCAAGGAGACTTCTGTGATGTAATGGAAAAAGCACTGGACTTGGAATCAGAAATCTTCAGTGGCATGATCATAGCCCACTGTAACCTCAAACTCCTGGGTTCAAGAGTTCCTCCCACCTCAGCCCCTCAAGTAGCTAGAGCTACAGGCATGCACCACCAGGCCTGGCTATTTTTTTATTATCATCATATGGAATCTCACTCTATATTGCCCAGCCTGGTCTCAAACTCCTGGCTTCACGCGATCCTCCTGCCTCAGCCTCCCAAAGTGTGGGATTACAGGCATGCACCACCACACACAGCCAGAATGAGAAGTCTTTATTAAAACCCTGGGCCTCTCACTTGCCTGCTCCTTTATTTTGTACAAGTGAGTTAACTTTGCTTTCCTCATCTGCAAAAAGGAGCTCTCAATCCCTACCTTCCTAGGACTGTTAGAAGGATAAATTCATCCACTCAGTGAATATTTATTGGATATTGACTATATGCAAAGCACTGATCTCAAGACAGAAGCTACAATGGTGAATCAAACAAAGTCCCTGACCTATTATAATTTATATGCTAGTGGGGGAGGTAAAGATCACATTGGGCACTGCAGACTTTGGAAATGGCATCAGGGCTTAGCTAAGCATGATGGGAAGCTGATGGAGGACTTGAAGGAAGAAGACGATTTGTGTCTTTAACAGGTCACGCTGGCTACTGAGTGAAGAGTAGACTGTAAGGGGCACAGTAGAAACAGGGCTGCTACACTGCAAAGTAGAGATGTCAGGAACCGCTGCTGGATTGGAGAGATAATTAGGGCACACGACAGTGATGAAGTGCCCAGACTTAATCCTCCTACCTCCTTCAGCTGGGTAACCTTGAATGAGTTACTCAACTTCTAAGCCTTGGAAGTATAATTTTTCCATCTATAAAATGGAGTATCAGTAATGACCTCATTGGATGGGATTGAGGCTAGATAAGTAAGGGCATGTTGTGGTACCTGGCCTTTATTAGGTTCTCAATAAGGAGTGGATGATCATGAAGGTGATGATGATGATGATGATGATGATGTTCCTGAACTCTTATCTCCCTTTTCTGAACTTGAAAGTACAATTCATATATATTTATATATATAATCTAATATATTATATATATATATCATCAATTTGGCACTTGCTATTACTATTTAACTTTTCACATTTAAAAATTTTTAAGCTCCCTGAAGGCATATGTAGTGTCTTACACTTCTTTGCAATCTAGGATGTCATACATAGAGCAAACACTCAATAAATTTATTCAAAGAAAGAAAGAATGAACAAGCTCCCGCTTTACCTTCAAGCGTAACATCAATTATTTTTATAAGAACAGAACCACTTGGATTTTTATTATTATCAATTCTGCTTTCCCCTCTTCTCATTCGTAATCGCGAATGATAATTGCAAATGGTGTCATCCTGTACTGTTTTGGGAGTTCATAAATGTCTCCAGGAAAAGCTGCCACAAGTACCTAGGTCTAAAGATCACTGTCATGAGTGTCATCCTGAGACGACCAAGCCACATAACCGTGTCCTCAGGACTACAGCTCAGTCTCTACGAAAGTCACTCTGATTGTTGATGCGAACGAATCCGATGTTTTCCCCACAGTGACAGAGTCAGGAAATCTAATAGCCACATGAGCAGCAAGCAGGGGACTCTACCACAGGAGGAAATATAGCGAATTATCAGGCCAGATGAGGACCTTATAATTCTGTTTCTCCTCCAGTGACCAAACCTTATAGTCATTAGTAACACACAGCACATCATCAACACAGTAGTATTCACTCTCGATATCTTTCAAGAGTCCTTCCACATTGCTCTCATGATTTAGAAGGCCATGCTTTCCCCCATTTTGAGGCCAATAGAATGCACCTTGATTGACTACCTTGATTGTTAACATCATCTCCCAGTGAGAGGTAGCCTGCATTTGAGTCCAGTTCTATGAACCTTATGAGCAAACTCAGGTAAATTTTCTAAACTCTGTGCCTCAGTTTCCTCACCTGTAGGGTGAAAATGATTAGAGTGTAATGCTGCCTACCTAGAAAGTTTAAGGTGAGGATTTACTATGTCAATAAATATAATGCGCCTAGAACACAGGAACTGGCACATGGTAAGTGCTGGATGGATATTTGACATTTTTATAAGTTTGTTAATCTCATGAGAAGGAGAGAAGTTAGCAGGGTCTTTATTTTTCAGACAAGTCTCGCACTTAGCGTGTGCAGAAGTTATGGAATGCTCGGGGTATAGGAGAAAGGTCTAAGTTCCTTCATTCTCCATTGGTATTACTGTTTGACCAGTCCAATTGTAATAAATTAGAATTTAGCAGATGGTCTCTACAACAGCAAAACCTGAGTCTGTCTACTCACCGTGGCCATCGCTGTACGCGGGCGAAATCTGTCACAGTCCACGGCCTCCACAGTGAGGTTATATTGCTTCACAGACTCATAGTCCGGCTGCGTGGTGAGTTCAATCATCCCAGAGAGAGGGTGAATCCAGAATCTTTGCACAACCTCAATGTCTCCGTTGGTGATTTTGTACGTCACGCAGTTTGGCGGGTGGTCTTCATCAATGGCAGTCACCCTTCCAACTTTGTAGAAAGCTGCCAATAGCATTTTATAAGGTTCATCCTTATGAGGCAGGTACATCCCTCTAAAAAACTTAACCTGTCTCTGCTTTCCAAATAGTATCATAATTTCTTAAAGGGTCAGTCTGAATCCTTTTGGACAGTGAAATTTGCATGTGAAGACCCCAATTCTACATAATGGGAGATGAATTTAGAGAAAAGTCCTCCACCACTTTAAACCATGTGTCATGAGTCAAATAACATGAGTTAATAATAACTTTATAATAATAATAATTAGCTTACATGTGCTGCACACATTGTCTACCAGGCATTATGCTAAGATTAGCATCAGAGAACGGTTCGCAGCACAGACTCTGAAATCAAACTGCCTAGGTTCCAAATCTCAGCTCTGCCACTTACTGGTGTAACTTACTGGAAGATTCTGCAACCTCTCTGGGCCTCGTATCTTTTATTGACAAACTAGGCATATAACAGTATCTACCATATAAGGTTGTGAGGCTCGAATGAGTTAAAATGTATAAAGCACTTGGAATAATGCCTGGTGCATGGTAAAGGCTAAATAAGAACTAGCTATTGGCCGGGCACGGTGGCTCACGCCTGTAATCCTAGCACTCTGGGAAGCTGAGGTGGGCGGATCACTCAAGGTCATGAGTTCGAGACCAGCCTGAGCAAGAGTGAGACCCTGTCTGCACTAAAAATAGAAAGAAATTTATTTGGCCAACTTAAAATACGTAGAAAAAATTAGCCGGGCATGGTGGCGCGTGACTGTAGTCCCAGCTACTCGGGAGGCTGAGGCAGGAGGATTGCTTGAGCCCAGGAGTTGGAGGTTGCTGTGAGCTAGGCTGATGCCACAGCACTCACTCTAGCCTAAGCAACAGAGTGAGACTCTGCCTCAAAAAAAAAGAACTAGCTATTATTTATACATATCATGTCATTGAATCCTCTCTCAACAACCTTGTGATATATGTGCTATCACTGTCCCCATTTTACAGATAAGGAAAGTAGGTACAGTGGTACTAAGTAACTTACACAAGGTCACAAAACTAGCAGTAGAGTCAGCATTTGAGTCTGTGTCTGCTTGTTTTACCGCCCACATTTTTTAAATCGCTTTGCTGTAATTTGTGTGTAGTACCCCCAAATAATCTCTTAGGAGAAAAATGGGTGTGGCACCTTGGCTGCATAATTAAGAGACCCAAATTCTTTATCTTCCCATCTTCATGCTCTTTGCCACGCAAGCTGATAGTGTCCCCCACTCTGACTTGAGGCTCAGATGTGTCGCTTAACTTTGGCCAATGGGATCTTAGCAAATGGAAGCACCTGTGTGGTTAGGCTTGCCTTTCTTTTGCACTTATTCCTTTGCCCTGAGAACGTGCTCGGGCTAGCCTGTTGAAGGATGAAGGAGTGAAATCCTTCCAATTACCCCAGCCAAAACCAAAATAGATTAGCTGAATGCCAGGAAACCTTCAGCATTTGGAACAAACCCAGCCAAGACCAGAGGGGCAGAGTCCAGCCAATTCTCAGGCTCACAGGCTAAATAAATGTGTGTTATTGTCTTGCTCTTTTTATGGGTTTTGTCACACAGCATACTTACAGCAATAGGTCACTAGTGTGACAGGTTTATCCCTCAGTCATTTTCTGCCTGAACTCTAAACTGCAGGGCAGATACCTGACCTCCACTATTTAGTGAAATATCACCGTGCAATGGTCGGCTCACCAACATGCGTATAGGACACTTTGGTTGCTGATAATCAAGAATGACAAATTATGATGAAGCGACCATTCCATGTGCTATCCCCACCACTTTCAACCTCAAGGATTTCTTCCTCTGTTTGCATCCTCCTTTATCAAGGTTCCTTAGTCTCTGATACTGTATTATTTATAAAGCAAGCAATGAACAAAGCTCATAATGCCAAGAACAGAGAGCCACATTCATGAAAAAGAATGTGTTTCATTTGGCAGATTCAGAACGTAAAGAGTCCAGCCTATCGTTTGCATGAAAGCATCATTATTAAAAGACAGTTGTCACAACTGACTGAGGACCACCTGAAATAGATTTGGGGTAAAATGGCCATCTGTGTCATATAGTCCTGGGCAAAGATGGTGTCGTTTTCGCATGTAACACCTGGTTAAGTAGAATGGGGAGCTTATTCCCACTTATGTAGGTATAAACCTAACCTTTCAATAAAAACTGAAAGCCATCTTGAGTATCTTTAGCTGAAATTTAAAACAGAGTAATTATGAAACTATAACTCTGCCAAACTTCCTCATCGAAACCATTGGAAATGAAATGTGTTTTTGCCTTGTGACTTGCAACCTAGTGTGATTTAATTTTCACGTATTTTCTTTAAATAATTTCTGATAAAGGAATTTCTTTTTGCCTATTTCTACCCTCTTCCAGAAGCTTTTTGTCAATTCATCACATACTATTAGAAAAAAACATTTTTTTTCTTTAAATAGTATAGATTCCCATAATTTTCTGAAGGAAAAAAAAATCTCATGTAGTACTCAAGATATACTTCAATTCTCTGTGCTAATCAACACGGCATGAAAAAAGACTTCCACATTCATGGATTTTTAAAATATTCTCAATGACTGGGGCCTAAATGTTTGATATTGTTAGGGAAGTTGGTTCATAGAGCAGTTTTAACTTTCCAATTTCTTCCTTTAAAGCAAATTGCCACTGGGTTATGAAGATTTTTGTCTCCTGTGATGGACTTCTCAAAGAACAAACTTTCCCCTAATTTTATTCAGCTTATATACACTAGTGGAGAAAACCAAGGAATAGTTAAAAAAGGAAAAAAATAGCAAGAAAAAAGTTCTAGCACATTATATATTGTAAGCACTCAATAAATGTTAGTGGCTGTGGCTGTTTTAGTATGAGTCATGCAGTTAACACACTATAATTATCAGCCAATCCTCATCTTAACTCTAAGAAATAGTTATTGTAGGCCAGGCGTGGTGGCTCACGCCTGTCATCCTAGCACTCTGGGAGGCCGAGGTGGGATGATCACTCAAGATCAGGAGTTTGAGACCAGCCTGAGCAAGAGTGAGACCCTGTCTCTACTAAAAATAGAAAGAAATTATCTGGGCAACTAAAAATATATAGAGAAAAAATTAGCCGGGCATGGTGGCACGTGCCTATAGTCCCAGCTACTCGGGAGGCTGAGGCAGAAGGATTGCTTGAGCCGAGGAGTTTGAGGTCGCAGTGAGCTAGGCTGGTGCCACACGGCACTCTAGCCTGAGCAACAGAGTGAGACTCTGAGAAAGAAAGAAAGAAAGAAAGAAAGAAAGAAAGAAAGAAAGAAAGAAAGAAAGAAAGAAAGAAAGAAAGAAAGAAAGAAAGAAAGGAGGGAGGAGGGAAGGGAGGGGAACGGGAAGGCCGAGGGAGGGAGGGAGGAGAGGGAGGAGAGGGAGGAGAGAGAGAGAGAGAGAGAGAGAAGAAAGAAAGAAAGAAAGAAAGAAAGAAAGAAAGAAAGAAAGAAAGAAAGAAAGAAAGAAAGAAAGAAAGAAAGAAAGAGAGAGAGAAAGAAAGAGAGAGAGAAAGAAAGAGTTATTGTAATCTTCATTTTACTGTTGGGAACTCAGAGGCTCATAGAGATTATGAGACTTGCCTGGAGTTGTTTAACTAGCAATAGGAGAGACAGATTTTTATCTAGTTCTACCTGACTCCGGCACTCATAGTCTTTCTGCTACATCATTGCGCTCCCTTCGGAGGACCTAGAAGTCCTCTGTCTGGTATAGTAGGTCACTAGACAACTATTTGGAGAATGGCACACATAGACGTGGCTCATTTATCTCCTTGTATGAATTCTCCGAACTTGTGGCCTCAGTCATCAAAACCCATCCAAGAAAAGCAGCCTGGAATACAAAACAGAGAACTGGGCCAGGAATTTGGAAGTCTGCACTTAGCTGTCATATCTGCTACTCACTAGCTGTGCGACTTTGAATAAACCCATTTCTCTCTCCCATCCCAATATTCTCATAGTAAGATAAAGAGGTTGAATCTTTCAGCCCTTCCACACTGACAGTGCTATGACTGAAAGTTCTCAATCCTTCTTCCTGGGCATCAAGAAAGCATTAAATTGTGCTTAAGAAAACATATGAGTGCTTAATGCATTTAGAGAGTTTTACCTTCAAAACATAAAATTACATTTCAGGAAAACTTCGGTTTGTTGCAAAAGAAACTGACAGGAAACACTTGATTCCTCTCAAATGGCATTTTAAAAAATGCCAGTCTTAAAAGGCAAAACTAAAAAAAAAAAAAAGGCAAAACTAGGGAGATAGTAAAAAGATCACTGGTTGCTAGAGATAAGGGGGAAGGGAGGATGAAAAAGCAGAGCTCAGATGATTTTTTAGGGCTGTGAAACTACCCTGCGTGATACTATGAGTGGTGGAAACACGTCATTTTATATTTGTCCAAACCCACAGAATGTACAACACCATGAGCAAACCCCAGTGTAAACTGTGGCCTTTGGGTGACAACGATGTGTCCGTGTAGGTTCATCAACTGTTACAAATGTCCCACTCTGGTGGGGGCTGTTGATAATGGGAGCAACTGTCTCCATTATGTGGGGACAGAGGGTATAAGGGACATCTCTGTGCCAACCGCTCAATTTTTCTGTGAACCTAAAACTGCTCTAAAAAAAATTAAGTCTATTTTTTTTTTAAAATACCAGTCTCTATTTTAAAATCTTGACTCACTGTTGTTCACTCTGATAACCTGATATAGGCTGTGTGTCTTTTCCCCCAGGGACCCTCAAAGCCCATGCTCAGATACTCTGCTCCAGATTTACAATTTGCAACACAGGAAATGATTAGATGATGGTGAACTATGTAACTTCTGACTCATGATGATGATGCTTTAACGCTAGAACTCCCCAGAGCTAGGAGATTACACTATTAACCACCACAGAGAACTGAGAGAATACGAAAAAGGGAAAGAAGTTATTGTACTGAGGCTTTATTACCCAAAAATCAGTACTGAGTACTTCCAAAACGATAGCAAAAGCCCATGGTTGGGGGGGGGGGACCGGAATTCTGTTTACAATAAATTGAATTTATATGCAACATTTCTGGAAATTGTCTGGTCATATATTGTAAGATCCAACAGTGTTATATTCCAGAATCAGAATATCAATATAGGTGTGTGCGTATTTTGCAGAGAGGTTAAGAACTTGTCCAAAGTTGTATGCTGGAATCCATATGCATGGGATTTTTATTTCCCAGTGTCTCCTCAATATTTGCAGTTGTGCCAAGGAAATAAGCTAGTTTGAAGTAGTGTGAGTAGTGTGAGTTCCGCCCAGTGATGCGTTGACAAATGTTTAACAGTCAATTCTCTGGAAAAATGTGGAGTGTGTGTGTGTTTGTGTGCATACATATCCACATACATGCATAAGTTTGCTACAACTTTTACTGAATACATGTAGCATAAAATCTATAAATAGTAATAAAATACATAATACTCTGTATTATATATTTCCATATAGACAATTGATTCTCACAGAATGCTTTCGTTGATTTTTGCCAGACTGTTCTACCCATCACCACACCATGACTGCAATTGACAAATAAGTAGTGCCAACATGAATCTTAGTTGGTATCTTCCTTTATTTTAACGAGTAAGGTGAAAGTGAAGCCATGTTGGAACTTCACTAGTTCATCAACGATAGGAATGGATTCTTTGCTGAAGTGGAAAATAGTTTTTGATGGCTGGAGGACTATTTCCACAGTTTTTGTGCTACTCACAATAATAACCTCGGATACAGCAGACTTTTAAGTTTAATCTGCATTATTAACACTTTCTCTGTCACTTTCTTAAGTCAAGATCATTTTCTTAAAGACAATGAATCAAGCCCTGATATGCAGTGTTTGCTGATTTCCGTGGTGTAAATACTCCCACCATTTTCACCAAGAAGTTGGAAAGAGAAAAGCAGCAAGCACACCGTTATCTATATGGAATCTCACCACGCGGATCCAAGAGATGTAAATAACCTCAAAGGCACAGGTAACCGTAAAATGTAGTAACATAATTAGGAAGTGCTGAGTTTTATTTATTAATTTTGTTTTTAATATAATTTATGTAACTAAGTTGATATTATTTTTAATAATGACTGTCATTAATAATCAGGTCACAAAATTCCTGAAAATTTAACCATTGTCTCTTATAAACTAGTACGATTCAACTCCAGCCCCACAGCTGGTTCGATGGGTCCCTTGAAGTATTCAAGTCAAGCCTGAAGGAGATGCTGAGAGAGGGATGTGTTCCTCTCTTGGATACAGAAGATACAGGTATTATTTCTGCTGTCTCTTTCAAATCTAATGTTGCTTGCTCTGTGCTAACAAACAGGTCCTACTTCATATGCGATTCAAGGTTGAGATAGGACCCTGACCAAGATCCTGACTCTACACCCAAAATCTTGACCCCAGATGTTTGTAGGATTAAATTGCACTGGCAATGACCATATCAACTCCTACTTTCTTCACACTTAGACCTAGTTTGGGGGCAAGGTGGAAGAGAAATGGAATAAAATTAATACTGTGTGTTCTTCCATCACAAAAGTCCCAGGCCTGACATCAAAGTTCCAGGGAGCCTTTGGGAACAGTCAGGCTGGCAGACTGAGGCCAATGCCAATGAAAAGTGACTTGTTCTCCGAACGTCTGGAGCTCCTCGGTGCTCCTCATTTGCTTGTATTTTGCAAACTCGCGTGCTTTTTTCCCACTGGCCACTCATGTTCTAACACCCTAGCTGTGAGGGATCTCTTACCTCCTGACGTTTCCGGAATGGAGAATGAATAGTGTGCAGCTTTAAATTCAGGGCTGAAATCGTTGGCAGGAGCAATCTCCACAATGACCGTCACCGTCACTGTAAAATCGAGCCGTGAATAAACGCCCTGGTGTTGTAGTTTTATTCTACAAATGAGCTAAAAGTACCCCCAGGAATGGGCTTTGCAGAGGATTTTGAAACTATGACAGGATAGTCTCTGTCCCCGAGTGATCTCTGTTCCCAGACTCTTGTTCTCAAGGAAACCCAATGAATCCTAGGTGCCAGGCAAAGCAATTTAGTCAAAAGACATATAATGTATGAATGTCACATTTCATTTTTGTGCAACAGAGATAATGCATCTATCTATCATTTATAAATATATAACTATATATTTCGCATCAGAGAGTTTATTGTATTTTTCGCGGGTACAATCTCCACCATTAGAGAGTTTATTGGGATGTCACTCTCAACCCAGCATATGACATTCTATATTCTGCTTTTAATATACACCCTAGGAAAAGGAATGGAAAAAAAATAAGAAAACCCACGTTCAAGGCTTAGCTTTAACATACCCAGTTGTCCATAGGTATACAAGGGGGATGGGCTCAAGGCCCCCAGTGTATACCAAAATCCACACCTGCTCAAGCCCCCCAGTCAGCCCTGCAGAACCCACAGACACAAAAAGTCAGCCCTCCTTATACGTGGATTTTGCATCTGATGAATACTGTATTTTGGATCTACATTTGTTTGAAAAAAAAAAACTGTGTGTAAATGACCCTCACAGTTCAAATCCATGTTGGTCAAGGGCGAACTGTACTCTGAGGCCTTGAACTAGCTTAACTTCTCAGAGGCCCAGTTTTCTCATGCAAAAAAAAAAAGAGGAATAACATCAGTTTCGATCTCCTTCAATCTCCTATATCACAGAGCGGATTTGAAGACAAAATGAGATCATGCTCAGGAAGGTATTTTCAAACTATAAAAGATTAACTAAAAAGTAGTTATTATATTTTATTCACCACAGCCAGATGTTTGTATATTGTGTGTTATAGAAAAGGAACTGTATTTCAGACCAACAAGCTCAAATTATCTTTGAAAAGAGAGTTCTCAAAAAGAAGGAATTTGATATCTCAACATAAAAGCAAGTAACTTGCAAACAGGGAAATGTTTTAATGAAAGTAAAATGATCATTAACATTTCATGTGGAAGGCACTGAGTTGGCATTGGGTATTTTTGTCCCAATTTCACAAGCAAGAAAACTGAGGTTCACAGGGTTAAGTTCTTGGCCAAAGAGAAGTCACCTCTGCCACCTCCTCCCAAAATATCTTCTCTGAGATGCTAAATGTGTCAAATGTAAAAATCCTAAGTTAAACAAAGATAAAACATTTCCTTTATGGCAAGATTTCTTAGTGTTTCTAATATATCATTATGTAGTTTGGATCTCCAGATATATATTGCTCCCTAAACTTATTTGATCACAGAATTCTTCTTTAGTAGATTATCTTGCAGAATTCATGTTCTGAAGAATTCTTGTATATTGCCTCTCCTGAAAATCTACCACATGTGTCAAACAAGAAAATTTAATGTGGGATTCATAGGACCTTTCCTTCAGAGAATCTTTATATTGTGGTATATGTTATTATGTGCATTCTCCGAGGCATAGAGTCTACAGCTTTCATCAGAATCTTCAAGGTGTTCACGACCCTCAAGAAAGGTTAAGAAGCACTATTCTACAAAGACAGGTGATTTATGTTAAGGCCTCTCCATTTCTTTGGATAAATCTCATTTGTGTGTTGCAAGAGCAGGTGCCATTTACAGCTCTGCCATACCATAATTTTTACTGCATCCACAAAGACTCAAAACTGTGCTAATTAGTTGGCCTACGAAAATAGACGGAACCACTTGTGAGGTGCAACAAGTATCCTTTCTTCATATCCTGTGAATGTGTTGAGTGTGAGGACCAGAGAGAGTGTGGATTTATTACTGTGAGAGATATTTTTCCCTCCCATATCAAGGAAAGGCTCAAATCTGTGGGTAGAGGGAGATTCTTTTCTGATTAGTTAGACCATGAGGATGAGTAGCTTCAACGAAAAGCATCCATCCCAGAAGGTGAGCTGGGCTACGTAGGTAATAGGGTTTTGCATGAGACTCAGCCGGTGAGGAACAGAGAAAATACAGAGAACACTTCTTGGCATGCTGTCATGCTTAAGTCCCTGTCCCTCGCACATTATCTCTTTGCACGGTTGTGTCCTTTAAGCCTACAAATCACCTTTGTAGACTAAGCCCTATTAAGACTCTTATATCAGTGAGTGTAAGATAAAACTCTTATGAGACTCAGTGAGATATTTAATGAGCCCTAGATGTGTTGATTACTGTTCAGCATGAAGTTCCCTTTGGTTACAAACACATAGATGCGTGCCATCATTCCACCCTTCTACATCCATGACAGACAAAGCACTCTTTTCCCAGTTCCCCAAGATGAACCTCAGAATCCTTCTCAACCCAATTATCCAGGCAATCACCACCAATAATTTAGAGTTCTCACTACAGAAGAAACCCAACTACCACCCCTATTCTGGGCTCTCCTTTACCAAGCATTAACATTCTACTAAATCTGTGTTTGCACCGAAACATCCACTTCTTACTGGATGTCTTTGATACCGATCACCTTCTGGATCACTTCCAGATACAACAGACACTTGACATTAATGAAAGACATATCCAGAAAATTTTGAGGATCCCCATTTTCCCAAATCTCTCTATGGCCAACAAATTTACTCTTAAAATGATAATACTTAGTTGTACATGTAAATGACCCCTTGGGACACTTACTATGTGTTCTCATGTGTACGACAATAAGCAAAGGCTAACAGGTGTCAGGTGGCTGACTAATTTCACTCACCTGCTAAGTACCCTGCTCTAGATCCACGGCACATAATTCAAATATGCACCAAAGAGTGGTTTGTAATTAGCAAAACTATGACTGTTAAAGCCACAAGTGCCAAGAGTTCTATGATTCTGCAATCTGAGTAGGCTTAATCTCACTCTACCAAAGGCCCATTCTACCCCAGGCTGACCCAAAATGGTGGGATAGCTATTTAAAAAGCCAATGGCAGGCCGGGTGCAGTGGCTCACGACTATCATCCTAGCACTCTGGGAGGCCGAGGCGGGCGGATCTCTCAAGCTCAGGAGTTCGAGACCAGCCTGAGCAAGAGTGAGACCTCGTCTCTACTAAAATTAGAAATAAATTAATTGGCCAACTAAAATTATATAGAAAAAAAATTAGCCGGGCATGGTGGCACATGCCTGTAGTCCCAGCTACTCGGGAGGCTGAGGCAGGAGGATCGCTTAAGCCCAGGAGTTTGAGGTTGCTGTAAGCGAGGCTGACGCCACGGCACTCACTCTAGCCTGGGCAACACAGCGAGACTCTGTCTCAAAAAAAAAAAAAGCCAAATGGCAGAGAGAGATAACCATGCTCTGCACCTGCATGAAGAGTCTGAGCTGTGGAACTTGGCAAATTACTCATGATTTGCATAGATAATGGCTGTATCTACATCAAGTAAAATAATTGAAATATTTTTAAAGCATCCAAGTACCTGTATATTTGGACTACATGTTATCCAATATCTGGCTCTTTCCAGATAAGAAGTATTTGGCATTACTAGACATAAAGTCATTCAAGTATAAAGCGTAAAAGTTATGTCTACACATCTTCTCTGCCTCTTAGCTCCCAGGATCTCTAGCTAGAGCTGTATTTAAAAATTTTGTATTGCTTAAGGTGTTGCTAAGAGGTGAAAAAGTCTTTCCAGATCTAATAAAAACTTCCAACATGAGTCTAATTCTCCCCTTCCTCCTTTGCCTAACTTCACAAAACAATCACAAATATGATGAATCTTTACATGCTGAAATCTAAAGTCAAGAGTCTAAAGAATAGGCACTTATTGCTCCCTGAAAAGTTTATCAACATTACCTGTATGGGAAGGGCGTAGGTCATCAAAGACTGAAATCATCATTTCGTAGATATGCCCAGCTGTGACCAGCTCTGGGTCTTCATAATCCAACTCTCTGGCAACCTTATAGAACAACATGACTTCAGCAAATAGGACCACAATTTTAAAATGTACGTGTTTTAAATGATAAATCATTCTGGAAAGGCAAGTGTAAGGCCATTTTCACTTGATAGCAATGGCATCCGAATGTGCCTGAAATTGGCACAGACTGACACACAAAAGTAAGCATTTTGGTAGAACAAAGGGACATCTTGGATTTCCTTCCAGAGTAGCTTACTTTTGAACAAAATATCCTGGCATAGTAGAAGAAAACTACGGACCATAACCAGTCTTTACTGCATGCTAATTTTGTGACCTTGGGCAAAATGTCTAAAAAGAGAAAATATCTTAAACTTACTTTGTAAGGGATGCAGCAGCATAAAAATATGTAAGTTATTCCTATTATGATGTCACTCACCATTTTAAAAATATCCCCTGAGTACTTAATTAGGTGCCAGGTTCAGTTGTAGGCCCTAGAGATATAGCAGTAAATGAGATGGTCCCATATAAGAGCTGTGAAGATGGTCTTAAGTGAATAGCATTGGCATGAGTCCCAGTCGGCATAAATTGGAATGGATCAATATGACATCAAGTACCCAGGTGTTTGGGAACAACTGTTGTTTTAAAGTTTCAGTATCTGATTCATTCATGCATCCATTAAAGTATTTTGAGTACCTACTAAACTCGATATACTTGGTGTTGAATCACTTGAAACATGGGCAAAGCTTACAGTCTAATAAGACCAACAATGAAATAGGCAGTTACAGCAGAGTCTATTAAGTGTTTTGATAGGGGACGTACAACTTATAACGTGAGCTCTGAGCAGATAGAACTGAGTCAGTTATGGCAGTAAAAGAAAGCTTTCAGGCCCGGTGGCTCAAGTCTGTAATTCTAGCACTCTGGGATGCTGAGGCGGGCGGACTGCTCAAGGTCAGGAGTTCGAAACCAGCCTGAGCAAGAGCAAGACCCTGTCTCTACTAAAAAAAAAAAAAAAAAATAGGAAGAAATTAAAATTGGCCAACTAAAAATATAGAAAAAATTAGCTGGGCATCGTGGCACATGCCTGTAGTTCCAGCTACTTGGGAGGCTGAGGCAGGAGTTTGAGGTTGCTGTGAGCTAGGCTGATGCCACGGCACTCTAGCCCAAGCGCAACAGAGTGAGACTCTTGTCTACAAAAAAAAATAATAAGAAGAAAGCTTTTAGGAACAAGTGGCATTTAATAGCTATAGGATAATTATGCATATATAGAAATTAATTAGAGGTGCGTGATGGATGGTGGTAGTTATTCAGATATAGAGTGAGCACATATGAAGGCCCAAATTTTAGTTACCATCCTGTTCACAGAACCTCCATTTTCATCCAAACTCCATTTTAAAAAATGACAGTTTGGCATTGCATTTCTTTTTTTTTTCTTTTTCTTTTTTTTATTTCAGCATATTATAAGGGTACACCCAGGAAACCTCTTGGTTCAGTGCCTAAGCTTCCAAAATTCACAAGAGAGGCAAAAGCTCAGCTTGTAGCTTGTGGAGTTTGTCAAGAAAATCTGGAGTTAGAGCCAGAGAAAGAGAAAAATCATCAATGGTCTCAGCTACATCTTCTGGCTAAGTAGCGGGAAGGTGCTTGGTGACATTTGAGGCAAGGGCCAATTATGCCAACCTCACAGGGATTGGCACTTTGAAATAAAAACCTCTAGAAGTTAGGAGTTAGAAGAAAGGTTTTCTCCCAAGGCAAGATCCCATCTTGGGAAGGGAAAAAAACCTTCTTTTGCTTATCCTTTGCCAATGGAAAGTTTAGAATCTCAAGGGAATGGAGAGAAGAGGAACTGACCAAGCGCTCCCGATACCAGGAGAACGAGCCATTGTCACACATGTGGTCACAAGGACTTATTTCTAAGGAAATCAGAGTGCTTTTTAGCCTCTGATTCATCTCCCCAGCTAAATAGGAAACAAATTATTTTGTGCTCATTATAAAAAGGAGAAACCGATGGCAAGCAGCCACATAATAAAGGACTTGATCCAATACCTTCCAGCAAGGCAGCAGAGGAGCCCAGCATTCCTCACTGCTGTTTCCTGGTTCCTCTCGCGGAACTTACCAGCATTATCCCCACGGTGGCCGTAAAGTGACCCCATCTCCCTGGAGTTCCAGCAACGGGTGCTCACCTGTATGCAATTGTCGGCGTTTGGCACTTGCTCAAAGAGCTGTCCAGAGCCAACCGGGCCCGAGCTAGGAGCATAATGGATTGTATCAGGAGGCTCATCAAGGTCGTGACACGAGAGTCTTGCAACTACTGTGCCCTTCGTAATCACCTCCTTGCCTGTGTACCTGTGTTATTTTTTTTTTAAGAAGAATCACTTTAGATGAGCATTCATTTAAAATATGATGCTTTCATCCAATGACACTCTACAAAAAAGACACCTGCACTCGAATGTTTATAGCAGCACAATTCATAATTGCAAGGCTGTGGAAACAGCCCAAGTGCCCATCAATCCAAGAATGGATTAATAAAATGTGGTGTATGTACACCATGGAGTACTATTCAGCTCTAAGAAACAATGGTGATATAGCACATCTTATATTTTCCTGGTTAGAGCTGGAACCCATACTATTAAGTGAAGTTTCCCAAGAATGGAAAAACAAGCACCACATATACTCACCAGCAAATTGGTATTAACTGAACAGCACCTAAGTGGTCACATAGGTACTGCAGTAATAGGGTATTGGGCAGGGGGGAGGGGGAGGGGGGCGGGTATAGACATACATAATGAGTGAGATGTGCACCATCTGGGGGATGGTCACACTGGAGACTCAGACTTGTGGGGGGAGGGGGGGAAATGGCATTTATTGAAACCTTAAAATCTGTACCCCCATAATATGCCGAAATTAAAAAAAATATATATGATGCTTTCCCCATAAGTATCCACTAGTTTGGATCATGCGTGTGTGGATGGATGCTCTATTTATCCTAGAGCAGATTGATCAACTATGGAGCACCATCTGGGAAACGATTTCCCCAAAGCTTCTACGAAGTCGGTAAGACCGTCCTCATTTTCTAGGAGAATGCCTTTTCTGCACCCAGCCGGGCACTTGCTTGGGATGAGAAGTTGATCAAGACCATCACCTCAATGGAGAAGTCCTGACCGGGAATCAGGTAGTTATCCGGGATTGTTCCATCTTGGAACATCTGAAGGGTGTGGCCAGGTCAGATAGTCCATATTCACAGTGGATTTATTTCCATCTCATCTGTTTACCCATTTCTTCATCGGAATCTCTCTCCCCCAAATGCCTTTAGCCTCTAAATCCTACTCACCCTTCAAAGTCTAACATAGCTCTCATCCTTCCAGAAGCTCCCCTGAGTATTGCAGCCTCACGGGTTCTTCCTTTTAATAATTAAAGCACAGCACCTACAGAATTCATCCTGTATTTTTCTTAACCGTTGTTTTAAATGTATTCATCTCACTACCCTGACAAGATACAATCTCCTTACAGAAGTTGAGCATAACAAACACTCATCCTATCACCCCCAGAGGCCATGGCCCTGGGTGCCAGCATGTGGTAGGTGTTTGATTTGTTTGATTAATAAACTATGATCCTCCTGGGAGAAGAAGAACAAGAAAGAGTAGGATAAGAAAAAGGAGAAGGGAGAAGAGAAGAAGAAACGATAACATTTACTGAGTGTATGCCAAGCTCTGTACTAAATAAATTCCAAGCACTGGTTATGTTTGATCCTCATAACAATGCTATGAGGTAGGTGTGATTATCATCCTGGTTTGAAAGGTAGAATAATGGGGGCCCAAAGAAGATCGTATGCGTGGTAATTAGCAAGACTATATTTTAGTCTTCATTAGACAATCAGGAATAAAGCCTAGGGACCATGGGGCAGCTGTCCAATTGGGGCATTGGAGGGGAGAGACATAGCCGAGTGACAGAAAGGTAGGTTTAGAGACTGAGCTTCAAATAATAAAAATAGTCATACTGACAGTAATAGAAACCCACCATCCCTTATCCAAATTCCAAAATCCAAAAGCTCCGAAACTCAGAATTTCCTCTTTGTCATCAAAACCTGTCCTTACCTGAAATTTTTGACAGAAAAACTTTACCTGAGCTGGCAGATCTTTATTTTTCCCCCTGGGTGTGAGTATTCACTATAGATTTGAATATGGGGTATTACTTATATCCTACTGGGAAAGTGGCATAGTATATGATATACACATCCTATTACCTTTCTAAAACCAGGACAGAGAAATCTTTACCCTGAAATATACTCAGTGCCGAGGGTTTCAGATAATGGGTTATGAGAACTGTAATAAATAGCACTTATAAAACTCATACCACGTGCTCAGCACTCTGCTCAGAATGTCACATAAATTATCCCATCTATTCTTCACAACCATCCTATAGGGTAAGTACTACTGCTAGGCCATTTTGTATTTTAAAAAACTAAAGCTCAATGGGCTTAAGTAAATTACCAAAAATCACACAGCTGAAAAAGGATATAGGTTCAGTATTCCAAGTTAGGTCTATGGTTCCAAAACTCAAGTTTTTACAACTTTCTGACTGTCAGATCTTGGAAACCCAGGTTTCAGTCATGAAGAGGCCCAAAAGGTCATTTCTGAGGACCAACGGGAGGCTGAGTCACTTTGATGATTACCTCCACGTCCAGCTGGCCCAGTAAACATGGCAATACCGCTGCTCTGCACCCGTTCTGAATTCTTGCCCCTGACGGCCCGTGTCGGCTCACCTAATCAGATACCGGTCACAGAAAGGCGAGTTGTCGTTAATGCCGTGGATGTGGGCAGTCACTGGGATGGCCGCACAGCGCCGGTCGCCGTCACAGGCCTTGATGGAGAAGGGCTGAACACCCGCAAACCCAGCTCTCTCCACGTCCAGACGGGTAGCAGTGACCACAGTCCCACGCTCTGTGACAAGACAGCACATCTTGCAGCAAACCGGCCCGCACTGTCATTCGACTTTGTTGCATATGTGTAGCGGTGGCCCATAAAGGGAGGATCGTGCCCCGATCATTAGAATTAAGAAACTGATTCACAGCGAACGCACGGTTTTGTTTACCACCAAAATGCAATTGTATCATGAGCTGGTAGCAAAAACAAAGTTGTTTCTGGTTTCGGGGGAACAGAAAAAGACTTTCTAGAAGAGGAGGCCCTTATTTTAGGCCTTGCAGGATGTGTAGGCTAAAGAAATGCTGGCGAATGGTGGACCCTTCCCAGGAGAGAATTTCATAAATGAAAACACAGATCACGACTCACTGCACTCCCTCCACCTATCCACCCACCCATTCGTTCCACAAGCATCTACTGAGTGCCAACTATGTGCCAGGAACTGTGCTAAGTACTGTACATACCACGGTGAAGCAAAGTCTCTGCATTTATGGAATTTACTGTCTGGGATGGGAGACAAACACCAACGTGTAGAAAAACAAATAGAATTCAAATAGACATACTAATAAGGAAATGAAAACTGTAAATATGGCAAAATAACACCTAATGGTGAGGTTCTGAAAAACTCAAGGGTGGAGGTCCCAAGGCACACGGTCCAGTTGTCTGCTTGCAGCATAAGCAAACAAGGGAGACAAGGAACAAGAGAGAGACAAGAGGCGGGGCGTGGTGGCTCATGCCTGTAATCCTAGCACTCTGGGAGGCCGAGGCAGGAGGATCGCTCAAGGTCAGGAGTTCAAGACTAGCCTGAGCAAGAGTGAGACTCCGTCTCTACTAAAAATAGAGAGAAATTAATTGGCCAACTAAAGATATATAGAAAAAAATTAGCTGGGCATGGTGGCGCATGCCTGTAGTTCCAGCTACTCAGGAGGCTGAGGCAGGAGGATCGCTTGAGCCCAGGAGTTGGAGGCTGCTGTGAGCTAGGCTGATGCCACGGCACTCTAGCCTGAGAAACACAGTGAGTCTCTGTCTCAAAAAAAAAAAAAAAAAAAAACAAAAAAAAAAAACAAAGAAAGAGAGAGACAAGAGAAAGGTGCAGTAAGTCTGGACTGAATTCCAAGCCACACAGTACTACCACAGGAGGATTTTACACAGGGGAGGACTATGATCCAATTTGACTTTTTAAAAAAACATCCATTCTAGCTGCTCCGTGGAGACTCTTGGACAGGGTAAGGGAGAAAGCAGGGGCTCAGTTAAGAGAATGGTGCAGCAATTCAAGCAAGAAGGGACAGTGGCTGTCCTGGTCGCAGCTCCCCCAGAGGCTGAATCGGAGATGAGGATTTGAGCTTGAGTAGCTCATCTGTGAGTTGACCCGGGTCACTGGGGCATGGGGGAAGGGAGACAGGGAAGGGAGACTCCCAGTGAAAAGTACACCATCAAGCGAGTTACCACGGTGGGCAGCTAGAGCTTAATATCACTGGGGAGCTCTGGAAGGCAGTGTAGAATACACTCAAAATTGTCCCATGCCAGGGCAAAGAGCTGGGACGTTTAGACATCAACTCCCTTCATTCACTGGCTGAGAGCTCCAGGGGTGTGGGGAAGAGAGGTGGAGAGTATTTCTCCAATACTTCTAACCTATTGTGTATGGGGTAGGCGAGAGGGCAGATATCAGACACAAAAAATCCAAAGAAATGTATATACTGGCAGCTGGAAGTCAGGCTTACTGCACTGAAATGTTAAGGCCAGAGGAGATATAAGTGGGAAACTGATGGCATCTTCTATGATGGCTTCAACGTGCGCATGATGAACACCTTTCTTCTCTACTCTGCACAGAGGAAGCCTTAGACATCGCATCATCTGACCCGCCCTCAGCCTCAGCCACGACTGACTGGGTGAGGAATGAATGAATGACTGTAGACAGTCCAATCAGATTCTCTCTCACAAAAGTTTGGACCTATCGCAGGGTCAAGAGCCGAGTTAGGTCTGAGAAGATGAGCTAGAAGGGTCTATTAAGTGGAAGGCTAAGACTGCCACTTCATAGCAGCCACGGAGAGCCACACGTTAGCTTGTGGGTGAACAAAGAATTGGGTCTTGGGAGTAATTCACAGGGAGTAATTCAACAGATGTTCATGAAGCATCTACTACATCTACTACAAACTGCATGTCGGGGTTTTGGAAATGAAGATGACCTGATACCTCTCCTCAAAAAACTCAGTCTGTGAAGGAGACATAAATAAAAACAGATGATAGTAACAGCATAGGATGAGAGATGCAATTTGCTGAGAACAGTTCTTAACCTACCTTTGTCAACAATAAAGTCAACATTCCACGGATCCAGTTCAAAGGTGAGATCTCCCAGGTTATCTTCATCAGTTGCCTGGCATACTCCAATCCTTTTCCCAATTGGAATTTCTTCATCCAGCGTGATATTGACTTTATTGTGCAGACTCGAGTTTATAGAAGTAACACTAGAGACGGCACCTTCAAGACTGAATGAATTTGTTTTAAAAGGAAAGATGATTAAAGTGCCATTTGCTTGCTGTATATTCTTTCCTACACCTTATGGTGGTGAGAGAGTAGCACGTTGGAAGCAGCAATGATGAATGTAGAAATTGTAACCATGACAGGAATAGCTAACTCGTTACACTGAGCACTTACCTACAGTTTACACAAACTCCTAAGCACTTTTCTTGTGTTATCTCATTGATTTCTTGCAGCAGCCCTAGGATGTAGGTACCATTCTTGTCCCCATTTTACACACATGGAAACTGACATTGAAAGAAATTAGGTAACTTTCAGAAGTCAAAATCAAGATGGCTAAGAGAAGGTTTGGCCCCAAGCCTATCTGGCTGTAGAGTCTGTATGCTTAACCACTGTGCTCTTACCTTTCTACAGCCAGAACCAGCTTCATAAAATTGCTGACCCTCAAAATGGTCCTATAAACTCCTTGGTGATAAAAATATCAGCTAGAATCTCCTTTGAGGGTAGTGAGAGATAATCCAGGGTGTCAATCCCTAAGGATGTGTAATCCTTAATTAGACATTAAGAAACATACTACACTAATAACAGCTTATTCTATCGCAATTTCAATACATTTTAGACTTTCAAACTATTTTGCTTTCAGTTTTTAAGAAAGCCCCTTTTCTTGGAATCTTACACCTCAGGTGTTGACATCGACTTGCTTATTTTCCTTCTCAGAAAAAAAAAAGAAAATTCAATAATGAATTTGAGAGACTCCATTTTCAAATCCAATTTTCAAGGTCAAATGAAAATCTTATGTTTTATTTCCTTACCTGCAGGTAAGAATGGGGTCCTTGTTGTTCACGTTGATGAGGAAGATCTTGAGATTTCCATCAGTAAACAGTCCTTGAGGATCGACCACTTTAATAACTAGGGAGAAACTGGAAGTGCAGCCACAACAGAGACAGCTAAGATTTTATAGTAATGAACAGGCTTTTGCAGAAATAGAATCTATTGGGCTTAACTAACCACTTAAAGCAGTTGAGTCATCTAGTCAAAATGCCAATCCAATCAGTTATTTTAATAGTTGGGAATGGCTAATATTTTGTTAAGGACCAAAGTAGTCAAATCACTTTAAAGAACAGGCAAGAACTCAGAGAAGTCTGTTAATGCCCACAAATTAAAAAAAAGGAAAAGGGAATTTCTTAGCATGTTGTAGCAAACAAAGCTTATGGCTATGGGTCCCTACCTTTCAAACACCGATGTTTCAATATTGAAAATTGGCAAATGCAAAGGAGAAGGTGTTAAGAACATTTCAAAACAACTTTATGACTATGGGGAAATATTAGGAGAGTTAGATGATTAATGGGTTTTTATTTTAGTAGAGATGTATATGGGTTCAAGAAATAAGAGTGGTTGAGGAAACTGGATATGCCCTAATTAAAAGATAAATGTTCACATCTATAAACTGTGACTGTGAGTGACCAGGACTGTCCAAGTTTTAGTAAGTCTCCCATCCCAGAAAACTCCTCAGTTCCAGGAAAATCAGGAAAGTTGATTATCTCTCTGGAAAAAAAAAGTCTGTTTTAACTTGAGCTATACTAATAATTAAGACCCAACTGTTTTCCTTCTATTCGTTCTAAAAATTAAACCAGTTCTGGATTTTTCTCTTATTTCATAACTTTTCCTATAAGAAGATGATTATTTATGAGAGGGTCTTGATGAAAACCAAAGTCAATGATTGTTAATATAGACGTTTGAAAAATAATTCTGGAAAGTCTTAACTGCAAGAATGGGAGGAATGAGGTATGGGCAGGGTCTGAAGCGCTAAAGAGCTCAGTTACCTTTGGTTTATCTAAAAGCTGGAGCGCTCACCGGAGCAACGCACCTTTCTAATGCTTTCAACAGGGCTTGAACAAGCGATTTCATGGCCGCTACATCTCCTTTGAAAGGAGAAAATTGATAGGAATCAATGAAGGAGGCCAGGCTCGGGAGCTCACGCCTGTAATGCTAGCACTCTGGGAGGCTGAGGTGGGTGGATCATTTGAGCTCAGGAGTTCGAGACCAGCCTGAGCAAGAGCGAGACCCCGTCTATACTAAAAATAGAAAGAAATTAATTGGACAACTAAAAATATATAGAAAAAAAATTAGCCGGGCATGGTGGTGCATGCCTGTAGTCCCAACTACTCGGGAGGCTGAGGCAGGAGGATCGCTTGAGCCCAGGAGTTGGAGGTTGCTGTGAGCTAGGCTGATGCCATGGCCCTCTAGCCCTGGCAACAGAGAGAGACTCTGTCTCAAAAAACAAAACAAAACAGGACTTGAACAATCAATTTCATGGCCCCTACAGCTTCTTTGAAAGGAGAAAATTGATAGGAATCAATGAAGCATTCCAAAATTTCCTTGATTGTCACTTAAGGTCTGCTCTGTGACCCTAGAAAGCTCTGGAGCTAAGAAGAAAATGAAGGAATAGTGTACTGTGGTCTTTGTAGAACTTTAGTGAAAGTTCATTGCAAAGCTTTAGCCAAATACTTATTTATTCAAATTCTGCAAAACAGAGCTTCAGTTTTCCAGGGTCGGCCACTCCGATTTCAAAGATAATAAGAAAAGGGAAAGCTTTAGATTTCACTTATCAAGAAAAAAAAGTGCATTTCTTAAACTCTGTTAACAAATCTTAAGATTTATAAACATCTTAACTGTATATGACCATTTTCCCATGAGGTCTACCAGGCCAAAAAGAAAGGGGAAAAAAAAATTGATGAATCTTATCCATTATTCCCAGAGCTATTTACGAGATGAGATAATTCAAAGAATTGTTTCAGGGTAGAGGAATTTAGGGTTAATGGAAAATGGATAAGGATTTTGTCAACGTCTACCCAAAAATTGTATGATGATAATACAAATTTATGCAAACTCTTCTGCTGTCTTTAGGAAGATGGCATTAGAAAGCACATCCCACTTCCGAATTCTGAACCTGTTTTACTGAGAGGTGACCTCGTATGATGTGTGGTCACCTAGTCTCCACTGGAGCTTCCCTTCTAAAGATGCTAGCACTTAGGCTGTTTCCCATCCCCAACTTTTATAACAGAAAAGAATCTCTTAGGAGATTCAGGAGCCACTTGATGGGATTGGCCTAAAGGTCCATATCCTTTTCCTATGAAGAGCACTTTGATACAGAATATATGGCTGGAAAGGGTGGTCGTAAAAATCACTATAAAAATAAAAATGACAACTGGAACCAGCAGCTACCCACTCAGCAAATGAGGAAGAAATGAGAAAATGTCAGTGCATTCACCTTTCAAAGATGATGTATTGCACTGAATGAATTCTGCGTCATTGTCGTGTCACTCCTTGCTTCCGCAGTGGGACGCAAACGCCACTCCTGAAATAATCTGGGTGCCTCTCCCTGAACAAAGTGGGTGCTGCAGAGAGAACCCCAACCGCGGAGTCCAGCGCCCGTACCAGCCATCGTGCCGTTTCAGTGTTAAGCGATGGTTTCGTTTTTAAGGCGAGGCCAAAAGCATCTTCACTTTGGGAGCACCTCAAGGCCAGATGAGGGGAAATCGTCACAAAAAGGGAAATAGGAACAAAAGGATGGGCATTCTGAGTGGAAACCCAGTAGCGGTACTTACCTTGTAGCTTTGCTCTCAAAATCAAAAGCCACTGCTGTGGAAATTGTCCCCACACTGTCGACTGTGAAGCCAGAACCCTCCGGGGAAATGAAGTACTGTTTATGGGACAGTGAAGAGAAAGCAAAATATTGGAGAGACACCCACTGGTTCCCTGGAAAGATTCCATGGGTTTCCAGGAATCAGGCCTGAAATCTCCTCGTGCTCTGCGCCCACCCTCCCCACACACCCCTTCCCCCGCCCAGCACATAGTACCCGGGTGCTCAGTGAATGTTTGCCTATGATGATGAAACACACTACTTTCAACTGACTTCAACCAGACAACCTGCTCTTAAATATTAAAAAAAGGCTTAATCTCTTACATTCAGTATGCTACCTGTTACCCGAACATTTCTCACAACACTTCACCCAAAGCTAAAATTAAATAAAAAGCAGTTACATTTAGAGGAATTGCTGACTGTTTAATGAGAGAACTCAGGGATTATAGCGTTTGTTTGCTTGTTGATGGTGAGGGTGGGATTTTGAGGAGACAGAGGTCAAGGAGCTGTAGAAGGGGAAAAAATGAAATATTGGGACATCTGTTTGTCTGATTTTGTATGTGTAGGCACAGGTCATACTGTATCAAGTTGTTTTTTTTTTTAATGTTTCATTGACTTTATTTTATTTTATTTTATTTTTTTGAGACAGAGTCTCACTCCATTGCCCAGGCTAGAGTGCCGTGGTGTCAGCCTAGCTCACAGAAACCTCAAACTCCTGGCTCAAGTAATCCTCCTGCCTCAGCCTCCCTAGTAGCTGGGACTACAGGCAAGTGCCACCATGCCCGGCTAATTTTTTTTCTATGTATTTTTAGTTGGCCAACTAATTTCTTTCTATTTTTAGTAGAGATGGGGTCTCGCTTTTGCTCAGGCTGGTCTCGAACTTCTGACCCTGAGCGATCCACCCGCCTCAGCCTCCCAGAGTGCTAGGATGACAGGCATGAGCCACCGCGCCCGGCCTCATTGACTTTCATTCATACTACCTTCCAATTATTCTGTTAAATGCTTCAAACACACTGTCTTTATTCCCATAGTAGCTCTATGTCATAGGTCAGGCGTCCTCAAACTATGGCCCACGGGCCATATGCAGGTGTTTTTGTCCATTTGTTTTTTACTTCAAAATAAGATATGTGCAGTGTGCATAGGAGTTTGTTCATAGTTGTTTTTAAACTATAGTCTGGCCCTCCAACGGTCTGAGGGACAGTGAACTGGCCCCGTTTAAAAAGTTTGAGGACCCCTGTCATAGGTACTGATGTTATGCCCATCTCACAGAGAGAAACACTGAGGCATAGAAAACTCAAGTGGCTTGTCCCTAGTGCAAGAGTTGAGCTTTTTGTCACTGTACATACTTCCTCTCTGCTCCCCGCGTTGCAACCCTGAGACAAACTTCTTGCCAAAGAGAGCAGGCAAAGTCAGGGTTTCTTATCTAGGTGAAAATCAAATGATTAGAAAAAGCCAGGAAAAAAATCCATAAGCCGATTAATACAGGAGTTAATTATACTGAGTGCCACTGACTTAATAATTGTGTAGACCCGGAGATAATTTAATAGAGAAGATTCAACCCTGAGGGATTGCAAAGCAACCTAAAAATCATTTGGAAAAATTAGTGACCTTTTAGTTTATGGATTTCCTGATGAATCATCATGTTCTGATTAAATTTAATTCATACCATCCATTTTTACACATATAAATAAGATGGAATTGATTTCTGCTCTTTCTGTAGAACAATGTAGGACATTAGCATTCCGGAACAGCAGGCAAATTCATCACACATTTACTTTTAGAGCAAACACAGGAATAATGATGCCTGTTTATGAAGGAAGGACGGAGGATGCTCGGTGGTTAAATTACTGGAGAGTAATTCACAAGCGCTGGGTCTGGTTTTATATACATATATACAATTTTTAAAACAACACTTGCATTTATGCCCGTAGCCATTCAAAAATTTGCAGTTCCAAATTCAATTTCAGTGTCACACAGTTGTCAACGATTGTTTGGAAACAATGCACGTTGGGAAGGTCCATTTTTATGAGGTTTAATTTTTCATAAAACAACGGACTCTTTTTTTAAAAAAAAAATTTTTTTTTTGATGGCACTGATATGAACAACTCCTGCCGGTCGTTCCGGGAAGGTTTGGAGATGGTGGTTGCTAGGCAACCAGGGCCATCACTGGGAAAGCCACCTAAATGCAAGAGCCCCTAGCAGGAAAGCAGTCTGAGAAATGAGAAATTAACTCTCTGTGGTGGGGCCAGGCAACTTAGATTTGTTTGTTTCCCCCCCCTCCTATTTTATCTGTAATGACACCATTAACTAGTAAAGAAATATTTTAGCCATAAAAATAACAATGGCAGCCCCACTCCCAGGTTCTGAAGCATGGGGACAGATCACAGGGGGCAGTGTGTGTCCAAAGGAGCCATCGGTCCTTCTGGATGGACTTTTCTGTGGAACCCACTTTATTCCCTTCCCTGAAAGGCTTGTTCATGACTATTTGCTTTCAGAGAAGCTCGGGAATTGGAAATGTCAGAGCCTGAACTTCAGGCCAGACACAAAGAGCGGAGTTAGGGCCTCTTGTAACTGCTCCAGGAGCAGAGACGTGGGAACCACGGCTGGATTCTTCTGATTTCTTAGCATCGTTGGTAATAAAAACAACAACCGTGATGGCTACCAGTTCCTGTGACCCTGACTCTGTGCTCAGCATTTTTCTTTAATGATCTCATTTAACCCTTGAAAGGATGCTTGCCCCATCTTGCAGATAAAGAAGCTGAGACTTACCGAGGTTAAGGGAATGGCCCAAGATCACGTCACTTAGTGAGTGGTCATGATCATGCTACACCCATGTTATTCTGCTGGTCTCATGGGAAACTATCTCCCTGTCTTTCTATTTTCAAAACATTGTATTTAAATTTATTTTAAAATGTTTTGGGTATGGATTAAAGAATCTAAGTGGGTAACAATATAGTTACAGAGTAATTCAGTGTCACAGTTTACAGAGGAAGATAAGGGAGGGAAAACAAAGGAAGGAAAAGAAAAGCAAGGTAGGGGTGGGAAGAGGAGGGGAGGGCAGCACAGGGGAGGTAAGTCTACAGGGGAGCCCCTGAGAAGCTTGCACCATTGGAAAGGCCAACAGAGAAGGATGAACCAGGAAAGAAAATAAGAAAGAGTGGTCCAAAAAGTGGGAGAAAATCCAAGGTCATTTATAGCCACAAAATAATGCTAATAATCGTAGCTAATATTTACTGAATACTATCTTCCAGTGATTATTCTAAGCCCCTTACATGTATTATTAATACCTCATTTAATCTTCATCGTAGCCCTGAGGTAGATCCTACTATTAATCGTATTATAAATATTAAAAAAACCCTGAGGTACAGAGAGGTTAAAAGATTTGCTCAGGGTCACAAGCCAGAAAGTGGCAAAGCCCACATTTTAATGTAAGCCATCTAACTTTCTTCTTTTGATTGTTTATTTTTGATATATATATTTTTTTGAGACAGAGTTTAGGTGTGTCACCCAGAGTGTAGTGGCACCATCATAGCTCACAGCAACCTCAAACTCCTGAGCTCATGCAATCCTCCTGCCTCAGCCTCCTGAGTAGCTGGGACTACAGGTGTACACGCCCACACCCGGCTAATTTTTCTATTTTTAGTAGAGATGGGGTCTCACTCTTGCTCAGGCTGGTCTCCAACTCCTAACCTCAAGCAATCCTCCTGCCTCAGCCTCCCAGAGTGCTGGGATTACAGGCGTGAGCCACCACGTCCGGCCCATCCAACTTTCAAATCTGTGCTCTTGTGGTGATACACTATGTCTCATTTGATAGTTTGTTCCAGGGTAACATTTTCTTGAGGGGAATTAGTACTGAAGGATAATTCCAGCTAATCTTGGCTGCCTTTTTTCCTTCTTTTTTTCCACTATTTGTGTATTTTTTTAGAGCATACATATTGGCTAATTGCTGATCACCTATAAAACTTTGTATAGGAGAGATGCATTTTAAAGAAAATAGTTTCAAACTGTAAACAGGTATAATTCTTTCCTAACCATTAATTATGTTAGTGTCACCTTGCATTTTCACCCTAGGACTATGCAGAAAGTAATAGCACCTCATCCTGAGCATTTTCTTTAACAGAAGTATGATGGGACTTCTTGTGCTTGCCTTTGAAAGCCTTGAGGTCTCACAGAAAATCCTTTTTTACTTTCCTCCAGAGTATATTAAATATTATAGATAGTTACTTTATAAGCAATAGGAACATTTTCTACCTATACACTTCTACTGGACTATTACAGCCCTCATCCTTCCTAGCACAAAGTCTTATTAAACACTCCTAATATATTGTCACCATGGCTAGCTAAAGTTAGAGACCTCTATGCAAGTATCCTCTGTAGTATCCTTGCTTGCTGGACTCAGACTCAGCTTCAGAATCCTTCTCGATACTCCTGAGAGCCTTTATCCCTCAATAAAAGAGGCTATGCACGTTGAATCTGATTTGCCATCCCTAATTAAGCCAGATGTTCGGTAGATTTACCCAGGTGTTTGCTATTCCCCTGGTAGCGGGCAAGTCATCTGAAAAGCTTTACAAACATTTTTGCAATGTTGCTCAACGTGTGGCACATGGCCCACCTGCACATTAAAAACTCTCCTCCAGAAATTAATTGTTGAAGCTGAATAATTCTTAGGAATTCATTATATGGTTCCCTCTCCTATTATATGCTTGTAAAAATTTCCGTAAATATTTATTATATATGCAGACCTACTTGAATCAGAATACCTAATGTGGGGGGCCTGGGGATGTGTATTTTTAGCAGGCTGACCAGAGTAACTTTTATTTTCTCTAAATGTGGTTCTTGTAAAGTGATTCTCAACGTGGGCTCTACAACAGAATCCCTTGGGGAGCTTTAAAGGTGCCAGTGTCCATATTACATCCCAGACCAGCGAAATTAGAATCCTTGCAGATAGAACCTGGGCATCAATATTTTTTTAAACTGTGGATAATTTAATAGCGCAGCCAAATGTGAGGTTTTGCTATCACACGCCCGCCTTTTTGACTCCTCACTCCATCCGGTAATTT